GGGGGGGGGGGAAGAGACAGAGAGAAAGACATTCATATGAGACAGACACATCCATGGTTGCCTCCTGCACTTGCCACAAAAGGGCTGAGGGAGCAAACCCACAACCAAGGTACGCGCCCTTGGCCAGGAATCGAACCTGCGACCCTTTGGTGCGTGGGCCAACACTCTGACAGCTGAGCCACACCAGCCAGGGCAGAATTTTGTTTTTTTAACAAGGGAAAGATTGGGGTAGACCTGGGGGTGGTCAGTGGCAAGAAATGAAGCTTTGGAAGGAAATACAGACTAAAATTATATCATACAAGGATTCTGCATAAAATGTTGACAAGTAGGATACAGTATGACCAAGTAGGATTTATTCTTGGAATGCAAAGATTCAATTATTTGAAAACAGAGTGTATAAACAGGCACAACCCCAATGGAGAACAATTTGGCAATAACTTTGAAGTTAAAAATGTACACATCCTTTGACAAAGCAATGCAACTTTTAGAAATGTATCCTACATATATGCAAAACAATGGATGTACAAGTATATTCACTGCTTCATTGTCTAAAAACAAAATAGTGAAAATTTCATAAATGTGCATCAATTGGAAATTGGTTAAAGTAAATGCTAAAACGTTTTCATACACACAGATTGAATCTAGTGAGGAAGACTAGGTGGCTTGACATCAGAGCTGAAAGGCTTCAATGCGTATTTGTTGTACTTTTTGAATTTTGAGTCGTATATACGACCTACGAAAAGTGATTTTTAAAAATTGTTTTTAAATGAGAAAGAAAATGAGCTAGGGAAGTATACAGGGTCCAGATAGTATAGAACCTAGTATGCTATGGTAAATAGTTGGACTCCATACAGAAGGCAACGGTAAGTTAATGAAGATTTTAAGGAGGGCTCTGGCCACGTAGCTTAGTTTATTAGAGCGTCTTCCAGATATGCCAAGGTTGCAGGTTCCATCCCGAGTCCCGGCACATACAAGAATCAACCAATGATTGCATCACTAAGTGGAACAACAAACTGAAGTTTCTCTCCCTTCCTCTCTCTCAAATCAATAAAAAAGAAAGATTTTAAGCAGGTAAATAAGTCAGATTTGTGCTCCCCAAATCACAGACACTTTTAGGGATGATAGCTTAACGTTTATATTTAAAAAAACAACTTTGGAGATCTGCACTACACTTTCTTATTTATAATCTCATGTCCTGAGCCTGGGGAGCGTCAGTCTGGAGAGGGGACAGCAGCCTAATTACTAAGTGAGGCAGAGGAGTGTGCGGGGGTGCCCCGGCCCCGGCGTGGGCAGCGCTGAGGCACTCTGTATTTATTCTCTAGTTAAGAAGCGAGGCCAGCGGCCGGGCAGCATCTACGAGAAGTTCAACAAGATGCAGGTAAAAACCAAGTTAGAAGGCCCCTACTTAGCTTTCCGAGTTCTCTAACCTCGCCACACTCTATCTCATTGTTGGAAATACAAGGGGGCCACAACCACACGAATGCCTGAAAATACGCTTATCTTTAGAATGAATACACTAGAACTCCAAGATAAATGTGATTAGGCGTATCTAAAAAAGTTCAAGAGATTGTAAAAGTGGGAGCCCAGGTTTCTCGACTCTCAGACCAAGTGGCTTTTTCCTTCAGCACTCCCGGAACAAATACAAACGAGACTACAACACAGGGCGAGATGGGATCGCGCCTCAAGCACCTTAGGCGCAAAAGTGGCAAGCGATGCCGGAAGCCCCGGGCAGGGAGAGCAGATGAGAGAAGCCAGCCACCTACTCACACTCGTACTTCCGATTGACTGGAGGATACTTGGCCTTGGTCGCCTTCTGCTCCTCAGTTAAATTGTAGTCCCTAATATCTTCCTCTTCCTGCGCCATGGTTGCAGCTTTGGACACCGTACTTCCGTCCTTCATCCGTAGGACTTCGGTCCTGATTTACAACTTCCGCTCTAGGCTCCACCCCTTGGCGTGGACCCTTAAAGCAGCGGGACTTCTAAGGGATTTACTTCATTCCCCTAAGACTTTCGCCCTAGGTTTCCTTGCTTGGAGCACATCTTTTAAAAGTGGAGGCCCCATTTTCTGGGCTTGTTTCATCAATGGTTCTTTCTAAGGACTAAAGAAACAAATAAATTGGAGCACCTGGGAGTAAGGGAGCCTTGAATTAGACCTTCTAGGTCAGAGTGATAGAGGCCTTTTCTTGGTGCCTCAGTTGATAACTGCTAGACCGGAAAGCACCCGAGGTTTCTCGACTGAGTACTTTGAAAAGGGTCGTTAGCTTAACAGCCTTTAAGAAAATGGCTGCCCCCAGGAGAGTGCGGACTACACGGCTCACGTGACCCCCGGCGGGGGATGCACTCCCACCAACCCCGCGCGCGCGCGCGCGCGCAATGGAAGGAAGTCGACTGCGGGCAGTA